TTTCCTCTGGGCAGCTTTCCAGCCACAATGTCACAGTTAATTGTCATAGAAGATTATTGTAGGAAGACACTGCACTCCACAACCATGGCAGGACAAATGGCAAAACCTTCCAAAGACCTGTTAGTGTCCTAGTCATGCTGGTAGCCTGAGTATCTCATTTCTTTTGTTTATCTATTCAGTATTGCAATTGCAAAATAGCAGTGTTCATGATCAGACTACTAAAACTCTGGCCAGATACCATATCTATTTAGATTTTTACAAAACCAGTTTTGAAGTAGATCTTTATATCATCCTTGTTTTTTCAGATAAGTAAAAGATATTTTGGTGACATAGGAGATAAAACTTCCAGTATTTTACTAAAATTCCAGTGAGATTGGCTGTGGAAATTTGAGGATCTCATTCTAAGCTTCTGTTTTTCTGGTTAGGTCCCAATCAAGAAGCACAGGCAGTTTTGTACCTAAATTACATGCTGTACTCTTGTGGGTTGGCCTCATTTTTATCTGTGATACTTTTGGAAGCTGAAATAGAATCATAGAATATCAGAAATGGATCATCCCCAGAAAAATCAGCAGTATTTTTAGAAAATACTTAGACTGCTAAAATATGATAGTTAAAAATTCTGGATCTGCTTTGAGAGGTGAACACCAGCTCTGGGTAGTAATAGCCCAGAATTAAAAGTATAAAACTGATGCTCTTCAAGTCACAGCTGTAAATTGTTCAGCAAGGGGCAGGACCAATACAGGTAGAACCAAAAAAATGCACCCTGTTTTCTAACCCACTAGCTTCTTAATAGCTAATATTTTGTAGGGGAGGAGTGCTTTTTCATTCCAGTTACAAATGTTTTAGTAGAGTGAACATGGCAGCAGTGGGTTTGGTTTTGGAAGGGGAGAAGGTAAGAGTGAGATATGTTTTCAGTGGTTTTAAAAGTGGGCTTAGAAGGAGAGATAGATTTCTTGTGTGAGATCTTTTACAAAACCAGTATTTTCTTATTCAAGAGACCATGGCTTCTGTCATTGAATTCAAAAGATAGCTGGGTATATGATGTTTCAACTTCAAATTCCATTGAAGAAAAATGCTATTATGATTGAAACCTAAGACAGGTCTTACGGAGAATACGAAGCTATGTATATTTAGTCACTTAGCGTATGCTATGGAAACATGCATGTCCTGTGGTGGTTTTGGATACATTACATGCTGATTTTAAACCCTGCTGTTTCATTTAATAACTATTCAAGAGCTCTGAGCATACTACTAGTGTTTGTAGCTGTTAGTTGACCATTTGAAGAAAACTGTTTATTTTGCTCAGTGCAGCATTCCTTTATATTACGCATTAAGAGACAATTTTCTTCACACACAAATGGCAGTCAATGGCTGTTTTAAGGATTCCATTTTCAAGGAATATATTTTTAGGTATGTAAAGAAATATGGAAACAGGTACTGTGCCAGGTAGTACAAGCTAGGTGTCAGTTGGTTACTTGGGACATCTTACCTTCTGCGATTTTGAGTTCTCCTTTTAGTTCAGCTGTTTCATCAAAACAGGCTTTCTGACTCCTGCAATGAGGGTATATATTCTTTTAATGATTTATAGAAAGTATAGAACGTGGCGTTCTCCAAGACAGAAATTATTTCAGCTAGCTAGTGTAACTTTTTCTAGAGTTTGTAAGTGATGGGGGAGCCTAGCTCCCACAGGTTAAATTTATTTACTCTGGTTTGTGAAACAGAGTTTAAAGCCACAAATTCCTGTGCAGTAGTTTGTGTTGGGAGAAGTTGATCCTGTTGCCACTTTCTGTCTCGAAGAATTCAGACTATAGGAATAGGAAACAGCCACAGCTACGATGGGTCTCTTGTTCATTCAGGAACTGTTAGCATTAGAGTGAGAGGAGGTAGGGAATGTATGGGAAATTGAGTATGCAGAAATGCATCTTAGATACATCGCATACATGACAATAACTTTGTTAATAATGATTGAATTTTTAAATCCCATTATTGGCCTCTCCCTTTGCTGAACAATGATGATCGCTTGTGTGTTTGTGATGCCAAACATGTTTTCTGACATAAGTAAAATCTTACCTTTAAAACTCTCAAGAATTCCACTAATAAATTATTTTGTGCCAGCGTACTGGATTATGATATCTCTATTAAATTTTTTTCAATCACCTGTGTAAATGTGAATTTGGTCAGCTTGTTTCAGAGGTACCATGTTCCCTTCTTTTACTCCACTATGTAGAATATCAATTACTTGATTATGAACTGCATTTACTTCAAACCCATTGCTTTATTATGTTGTAATTTAGCACTGGCATGGAATTAAGGCATTTTAATACATACATACCAGCTGTATTGCCTTATCTCTAATGGGCCCTCTTGTTTGGAAAAATAATTCTTTCCAGTTATGCGCTAGCATTATTCATTCAATTTATCTTTACCAGACTCCTGCGCTCACTTACATAATAGATTACGCAGGTTTCACAGATCTTGTAAGACACTTGCACTTTTAGTCCCTTTGATCCATCAAATCTGGCTTCTCTAGCTTTTTGCTCCATACTCAGATAATGAAGATTCAAGCCTAAAATACATTAAATAGTGATATATTAAAGTTTCTGTCAAAATTTCAGTCTCTACAGAGGCTTGTATAACTCATAAGAATTTTGGAGAGAGGAAGAGGGAGTTTTGTGTATCTGGTAAAATTTATTTAATCTGGTGATTTTTCATCCAATGAACTCATACCTTGACACATTCTGCTCTATAGGCACGTGAAAAAGGAACAGTGTCAGCTGCATTTTCTAAATTTCTCAAGATATTTTTGTAAACATTTGAAGAAACGTAGGTGTAGTGAGTCAACAATTTTTATCCCCAAACAAGGGATAAAAGCTTTTAAGTAGTTCATTGAAATATACTTAACATCAGGTAGACATTGTCTTCATCTTATCTGTGCCTGTGAAGAAATGCATCATTATCTAGAAGGCAACAGTTAAAATAGTGTCCATCCTATATTAATTTTTTTTTTCCTTAAAAGCATAAACCAAACCACCACAAATACTGAGCTGACATTGACGACACTGAGCTGAAGTGAGACTTATCTAGCCCATCTTCATTTTTTGCCTATCTTGGTTTCGGCCATCATTTTGTATTTTAGCTTTGTGAAGCATTTGGGAAAGGAATTTCTATGAAAGATTCTAGGAAAAAAACGAACACTCAACCACAAGCCAGCTCAGTTTAATGGGGTTTGCTTTCAGAAATTCAAAGCAGAAAATAAAGATATATTATAAAGAAAGAACCTCACCACTCAAGGTTCAGTTGTAAGTATGCTTTCCTTTAAAGTCATCATGCGTGAATGGATTAATGTCAGGACAGCAATGTGGAGATAATGCGATATTAACATACACCTTTTAAAATTTATGACAGGTGCTTTTCCAGCATCAGCACTGTATGCACGAAAAGACTTGCTTCAGAGACCTACGCATATTGCTACCAAAACTTTTCAAGGCCTGCGAATATTTGTAAATGATGAGCTCCATGAACTCTTTATAGGGCTGAAGACAGCTGAGAAGTTTCTAAAACCTGGAGGTCGCCTTGTAGCCCTCTCCTTTCATTCACTAGAAGATCGTATTATAAAACGTTTTCTTCATGGAATAGACATGACAGAAAAGTACAATCTTGGCTCAAGGCAGAAGGTAAGACAGGCTCTGAAAAATTGCTCCAAAGAAGAAGATACACAAGAATTTCCCTGTGGAAAATCCAACTCAAAGTGGATTTTTATACAGAAGAAAGTTCTCACACCCCAGGCCAAGGATATTCAAACAAACCCAAGAGGAAGGTCGGCCAAGCTAAGAGCTGCTATTAAAGTCTAAAACAAAATTATATGATTATATAATTGTATAATTTCTTTAAATTTTGTTTTCCAGAAGGCTAACTGGACAGATACTGTCAAACTGAAAAAAAATGAAGGCTGTTAGAAAACATTCCTTTCTTACCTTTGTGCTTCTTTTTAATTAGGATGTAGTGTAGAACATCAAAAGGTAAAATAAATGTAGATAAGTGGGTGTCACTAATTATACAAAAAAGACATCTTTTTAAAAAAAGCATCGAAACCAAAGTTTATAAAAATTACAGGTTTGATGTACTTACAGTATTTCCGTTAGATTAAATTCAAAACCCTGACATTAACAGTCTAAATTCAGTAGCTGATTGAGACAGACACATTTTTATGGGGGTGGATTTCACACACCTAAGTCAGATGGCTGGTTTAGTCTGGAGTAAGTTTAAACTAACCTGAGAAGTCATGATATGTAGGTCTCTGCATCTCAATTGACTTGTTGCATGAATGCCTGTAGGATAAGAGATAGTTCTTAAATAAATGTAATGTTCTATCCAGGAATTTGTAAATGGGCTCTTACCTTTTTTTAAAATAAGTAAATATTTACTTCTGAGTGATCACCTGGTTATTTAATGTTTATGGATTCTAAATAATAAATGTATCTTGGGGAAAAAAGATACTTAAAAGACCACTGTTTGTACTTGGACACTACAAGCAAGCAGTCAGATTTGTGCTTGATCATTTGAATTTCTTCCTGTGACCCTAACTTCTGTGCATACATCCAGCACAACTTTTAGGTGTTGATGGAATTATAATTAACCCGTCAAAAAAGAAGTATTGTGGGTCTTATGAAGTATTCTCCTTTGCTGGTGTTCATTTACTTTAAGAGGTGCTACTTAGGTAAGTATTGAATTATTTTATAAAAAGGCCCACTCTAACACCAGTTTCCTATTTGGAGGCGATACTAGGTAGTAGAACATGTAACATAATTTAGTTTTTAGTAAGTTAATATGAATTGGATTTAGCTTTGGGTTTACATTTTATCTTAAAAGACCATTGTTTTGCTGTTTTTTTATGTTAAAAATGATCAGAAAATAGTGTGAGTTTCAACTTCTTTGACCTCTGACTCATCTCTTCAGGGAAAAAAAAAAATCCTTATTTGAATAATGAAATCAGTAGCAGGATTTCATTTGTGATGAATCTGAAACTTGGCTGGTGGAATAAAAAACGCAATTTCTGACTCTGAGCTAAATGATTACTATGCTAGCTTCTGAAAGAGAACTGACTAGATCATTCTGGACTTGATTTTCATCAAGCATCCTCTTTATGTTGATGTAAGTGATTACTTCACGGGAGTTTTTTGGGTCATATTGGCACAAACAAGTTGAAATTTAGGTTCACTGTCTATAATATACAATATATTGAAATATCTGAATATTGTTTAATTCCTTGGTAAAGCTAAGTTGTGTAATGTATTCTTAGGTATACACATGATAACATCTATCAGTAATCTGAAATAACAGTCGAATGATGATAGGCATTTCATACTTTTCTGAAATTTCAATATTTTTCCACTGGTTTCATTATACATGCTTATTAAATATTAAATAAAACATTCCACTTCAAATAATATTACTTACTGTTGACATCTTAGAGACAACCGACTGTACCTTAAATAGACATTTTTTCATCCAAATATTAAATATAAATAGCTGATGTTATTTTTAGCTAAGATTCCATATTGAAATGTACTCCAGTTGTAGGTTGGAAAAATTGTACCTCCAACATACGCATAGAAGAGTTGTAGTGCCATGCTGAGCATTGTACAGGAACACACTTCAGGAAAAGACCATCCAGTTATAGCAGAAGTTAAGTATCTGTATCCCAGAAATTGTATGAAAGCATTAAAATTCCTTATGCTTAAAATGATGTTTAAAATCCACTTTTCTCACATCTAATTTCAAAGGCACAGTTTCTAATGATAGTTGAACCACTTTATATCAGTTTTTGTGAATACACTCCCTCAGTTAGGGAAAGTTCGAGACTTTACCTTTAGATTGGAGTTGCACAGCCATGGCAGCACATCAGTCGTTGAGCTCTTCTTTGTAGAGGATCTGTTTCTCTCCTCTCAGGGTCTCCTCACTGCTTGCCTGAAAACAGAATTTTCTGGTTTTCCCAGAAGAAACTCTGGTTATATTTAGTCAAAGTGTTCTTGTATCTTTAAGCATTTCACTTTCATTTAGTAGGTGAAGTTCTATTATGTGAAGGGTATTAGGTCTTTATGTTCTTTCCAGGACACATGTCTATATAGCATATCTTAAATTTTCCTAACATGGTACATGTGACATGTTAGTAAAACTGAACGTTTTTTTACCATAATCAAAAATGGTATTTATAAAGGAGACGGTATCTGGTGGAAAACTAGTCTCACTGAAAAACCAAATCATGCTGTCAAGATACAAATTGTATATAATTTCTACAGTCTTATTATTCAATGTGAGCAATGTGTATTTTAATACAGCCAAATGCAAGATTATCTATCAATAACAAAGAAAAAAGATTGTAGACTATGTTTACAAGGAATATGGTAATACCATGGTACTGTATGCGGTGGGAAGAGTAGAAACATCAGTATCTAGAATATTTGTAGAGAATACCAGGTGGTAGTTGCAGAGAGATGACGGTGTTGCCAGACAATATGTGCACACAGAGCATATTACTAAAGTGTATATCTTTTCATGTTAGTACTTCAAAAAGGTGTGGAAAAATTTTTAAAAGGATAAAAACCAGGTATGAAACTCTTCAGACGCATTGTAAATATACTTTCTGTTGAAATTATTGGAAAATGTGATTTAATTAGTTAATTCAAGTTAACATAAAGAGTTGATACGCTGTCAAAAGTACCTACCTGGTGAAGAGATTTGCATAGAATAATTATTTGAAAACTAGACACAGTTATCCTGTGAATAAGGTTTTTATAGTAAAAATATAGTACTTTTTAAAAATACCATTGTAAAGTATAAGCACAATTAGCTGCATTTATAGCCCATGAGGGCCTACCAACAATTATTACTTCCCTGTTGCTTCCTAAAGAAAAAGAATCAGTTTCATTGTTTCAGAATGCAAAGGCTTAATCATACTGTTTTCAAGTAATATAAGGAATTAATATCTCTTTCTTCAGGTTGTTTTTTTTTTTTTTTAAACTATTACAGTTGAGTAATTTCTCGGTAGTCTTTTATAGTCACATCTGCTGAGATTGCCACTTGACTTGGAAAAATCCCAGTCTGAAACGACAGCTTTTGTACAGATCTATTGAGGTATGTGATAGATGGAAGTTGGAAGGAGAGGATTCCTAATGTAGTACGAACTGGGAAAATGCCGACTTCAGTAAACGCTATTAGCAAGTGGCTCTCTTCTAGTAGCAAGTATTGTATCAAACTTTTTGCATGTTGCTTTCTAGAGTAGCATTTCTATGATTATTAACGAGTCATATAAATGCTCTAATATTACTCTTTGTATTGGAGATGTTAATTGGATATTAATTGGAGAGTTTATGCTCCTAAATAGCACTATGAGGGAAGAAGCATGAGGAACTATGGCCTGAGGGGTGGGATGATTGCAATAAGCAGTCTTAGGTGCAAATTGTTGGTGATTTTATTCGATTAATTTAAATTTTGAAATAACTTAGATTTCAGTCTTGACTCGTTGTTTGGAGTATCACTGTACAAAAGTACTGGTGAAAAATGAGAGGCCTAAATAGCACTATGAGGGAAGAAGCACGAGGAACTATGGCCTGAGGAAAGGTGACATGCAGGGGTGGGATGATTGCAATAAGCAGTCTTAGGTGCAAATTGTTGGTGATTTTATTCGATTAATTTAAATTTTGAAATAACTTAGATTTCAGTCTTGACTCGTTGTTTGGAGTATCACTGTACAAAAGTACTGGTGAAAAATGAGAGGAATTTGAATAAACAGACAAGTAATGAACTCGTAAGCCAATTTGTTGTTGCCCACCTTACTTAACATCTTTACCTCTAGCAAGAGTAATAAAGGGTTCAAACCTGCTTTTCTTATGCCCCAAAATCTCTCCAGGAAGGGCCCTTCAGTAGGATTAGGACCATTTACACCAGGATTATGAACACTGTTCAGTGGAGTATGGGAGTCGATCTTTATATCCATACATTTATTTCTTCATGTAGCAGTTGCTTAAATCTAATCTGTACCTTAGAATAATATGCAATGATATTTATAAGTCTTTCAGAAGTATAATCAAATGTGGAGGCCCTTAACACCTGAGGTATACTGGAACTAAAGTAGGATTTTGTGGATTAATTAAGACTGCAGTGCTACGGTGAATTTTGCAAATAATTTAAATGAATGTAGAACAATTTCTTTCCTTCCCCTTTTCCCAGCCCCTGTAGAAGATAGAAGAGAAAAATATGTTTAATTAAGAAGTAAGAAATAAGCAGTAAAGTTGAACATCGTAGAAAAAAATGTAGTTTATGAGGTTGACATCCAATTTTAACAAAATTTCATATATGCAGTGTTCTGTTACTTTTTCCGTTCATTCAATTTCAGTACATGGATGCAGAGCATGGTTTCTAGTGCGTAGTCAAAGGTAGTAGTTGGAAGGTTGCTTCTAAATCCAGCCCTGTATATTTTTCCCTCTGTCTCCTTTGCATTTAGAATTGTGTTTACCTTTCTGAATCCTCTGTAAGCTTATCCCAGAATGAATGAGAGGGAAGGGCTTTTCTTTTTCAGAAAACTGTAATACCTGTCCATCCAACTGTATTAAAATTAATGCTATTTAATACTTCTCTTTTTGACATATTTTACCGATGACATGCCATGTTTTTCAATATTGCTATTACATCACTAAGACAGGAAAAGGGGCAAATACTTGTTCATGGGAAATCTAAGCTAAAAAACCAGAGCAAGTGATCAGTTGCATGGATGTCTGACCGTACTGACATAGCTGTTTATAAAAAAAAAAAAAACCACTTTTTCATTGTACCTTGATCTTTAGGGAAATTA